AAAAATTAGTGAATGCAAAAATTCTCTATCAAAATTTGAAATAGAAAGTGTTTCAAATAATTCATCCCGTTGTTTATCAATAATTTTATCCTCTAATCCTTGCTTCTTGATTGTATTATATAATTCTTTATACATTAAAAAGTTTTTTAAATAATCTTCTGCTTCTTCTTGTGATAAATAAATAATTGGAATTTTGATTAAATGCTTTAAAGATTCAAATGTATCATCTGAAGGTGAACCTGAACGGTTGATATAAATTAACACATGTGAATGGGGGAAGTGTTAGCAATAATGATAATTTGTTTTAATATCGTTAATGTTTTACCTTTATTTTGTTTACCAATTGCTGCAGTGATTGAATTTAAGTAACATTCAGAATATGGAATTTTCATTAATTTTTCCTTAGATAGAGCATTTCTATTATCACTCAATGCTTCATTAATCATATCATCTACGTATGTATTATATACTCCGCTAATTCTTCAGAATTTAAATCCATTTAATCAAAAATAAATTTATAATTTTAAACATTTCTATTCATCAATATTTCATCATATGAACTTCTATACTGTGGTGGTGTACCTGTTGGATGATATTTCAAACCTTCATCCGGTGTCCATGTCCAATACGTAGTCCTAGTAAACCAAACCTGAGGAGGATTTGTCACTTTGAACAGTAAGTGTCATTTTCACCCTGAATGATTGGATAAGCTTTCACTTGTACTGTAACTTGTGAGTTGAAAGTTTCTAATCCATCAAAGAATATACCCGCTCCATCACGTTGAACTGGAATAGTGCATAAGAATGAAGTTTGGTCTTTCCATGTTCTAGCTAATGGCGTGCCATTATCATCATTCAGTGGTCTAGTTAATGAGTCCTCGTATTCTTCTGTGCATTCATTCACTCCATCTAAATCAGAAGCTTGAAGCATACGTGTAAAGAATATGTCACCCACTGTGGTCATCGCTTGATCGGGGAAGTTTCTGGAATCTATAGTGACCTGAAGACCTCGAAGCATTGGATTTTCTAAAACTGTTCTTTGCATTGCATTCTTCGGAAATGTTAACACAACATCTGTAACATTATGAAGAGCGTATGAGAAATCTGAGCTAATACCTTCAGGAGTGATGCAACCTCCATTTAGTGAACGAACGTCAATATGTTGAGCTGGAATCATGAATGGATCTTCCTTACTGAATAAACGTGGTATTGCTTTAACTGATTCTTCAATTAAACCGTATCCTGGTGTAATGCATTTATCCTCTAAAACTTCCATCTTTGTGCATGAAATAATAACGTCATCAACTGTTGCGTCAGCAGATGTAGCGGCTAAGCTTGTAATTAATTTGGCAGGAAGTCCGATTTGTTGGAATTTGCGATCATATTTATAAACATGATTCATAATCTTTTCATAATTTTCATCAGTTATCTTTTCATAAACGTAATTTTGTAAATCAGCAACTCTTAACGGGTCAACCTGACAAAATACTAAAGTATCCCTGAAAACATAATATTTAAGAATGATTTCACCAAATGATTTAGGATAATCATCGAACGCCTGAAATGCTAACAAATCATTTACCGGAATAATCATATCAAAAGTGATATCAACTTCTTCATTTGCTTTCTTGAAAACTTCTGAAGGGTCAATATATTTACCACATACTGAGTTATCATATTTTTGAACATTATTATATAACGAATGAACAAACTTTTTAACTTTCCTTTCTGATTTTGGTTTATATGTTGCAAATGCGAAAGATTCACGGGCGCAATCCATCTGAAGATAACCGGCATCACCTCTTTCGGTTTCTACTTCTAATTGTTTAAAGCTTTGATTTGATGATTTGTAACCAACGAATAAACGCATGCATTTAAAAGCGGCATCACATGTGAAAGCTTTATTTGAAACTAGAGTTGCTTTAACTTTGCGTTTAATATATGTGTCACCTAATTGGTTCACATCATGAGCCGGATTTGTAATTCTTAAATGAGTTTGTTTATCATCAAAATATGGAGCATCAGAGTCATAGCATGAACTTTCAAGTTCTCTATAATATCTTCTACCGTCATTCTTTGCGAATATTTCATTTATCTTTTCGAATGAATGAAACACATTTCCATTAATCGGTTTAGTGTTTGGCACCAAATAGTTAGTCGTCATTTATTATTAAATAAAAAATCAAAATTAAAAGATGAAAATGAATTTTTAATTTTAATGAAATAATCAACTATGGCTGCAGGTATATTTAAGAAACTGTGGGATAAAGTAAAAAGAGGAGCGCATAAAGTTTGGGAAACAATGAAGAAAGGAGCAAATTGGATATTTAAGAATAAAGAAGCAATTAGTGACATTGCTGAATCAATAACGCCAAAAGCTGCCCCAATAAGAGAAATTTAAATAAAGGAGAAAAAGTTTATCAAAGACTACAACCGATACTAAGATAAAAATAATATTTATTTATTTTTCCACTATCTACCTCCTATTTTATTAAGTATTCCTTCAGCAATTCCACCAATTGCGTTACCTGCTTGTGCTCCCATTGCCGGATTACCTGCTTTTGTACCTAATACTCCACCTATGATAGTTCCTGCCGTTTTCGCTACTGGTGCCAAAAAGTTTGCAACGGGTTTAATAATCTTTTTATGAACCCAACCCGCAGCTTTCTTAATTCCATCCCATAATTTTTTAAAGAATCCTGCCGCCATTTCTGATTTAATATTAATTAAAAAATATATTTCATCACTTATATTCTAATTTTTATTTAATGATAAATGAAACCGATTTTAAAAATAAATGAAACAGAGGAGGAAGAAATAAATGAAAGTGAAAATGTTCAACAAAAAATAAACGTTGTTAAACCAATTACTGAAATAAAAATTTTTTCATCTGTTAAAGAATTTAATGACTATTATGCTAATAATAAAAAATTATTTGAAGAATTGACAACATGTAAATTGAATAAAATGTTTAAAGTTGATGGATTCAAAATTTCAAAAATAAAAGGGGTGGTTAGTTTGAAATCTATTCCTCAATCAAGAATCACCTCATTAATGAAAATAGATGATTTAACAAAAAGAATAGAAGAGATTGAAGAAAGAATGAATCAAATAATTGATTTCATAAATCATGACTCGTTGAGCCCGGGTCCTTAAAGCCCATCACTGAGTTCAAGGTTATATTCATCAAATATTTCATTATTAAATGCAACTTCTGCTAGTTTATTTATTTTTTCAATACGATCATTTGAAAGTTTATCATTTAATTTTTTCTGAAGTTTTTCATTTTCTAGTTCTGAAACTTTATTTGGATGATATTTAAACTCGTTAAATTCTTTTTCCTCAGTTTTGATCATTAATTTACAAAGAACTTTTGTGGTTGGAATTCGTTTAAACCATTTATCATTAATATTTGTTATAAATTCAATATTCGGAATTAATTCCCAAATTTTTGCATTTTCAATTAATTTATTATCAAATGCAAAAGCAATAGGTTTAATATTATGTTTACCTTTATAATATAAACTTTCTACATAATCATCGAAATAAACATCTACTTGTTTAACATTTTCAAGAATTGGTGAAAGAGCATCCATTAATTGATTGACGGTTACGAATCTTGATCCACTCATTTTCTTACGAATTAAAAAAATAAAAAAAATAAATTTAACTTAGTTTTAATTTTACGTAAGAAGTCAATTTTTAAATCTTGATTTATTCAAAAACGTAAGAATAAAAACCGTAAGAATCATACATTTTTTACTTCATATGTTAAAAAAAATGATACAAAATCGTTCAATATTGTATGAATTCTTACGTTTACAAAAAAAGTCACATAACCCGCACTCATATACTACTTTTTTGAAATTTGATAATAACTCCAAATTAAGCTGATAAACTCATAGAGCACATAAAATAACACATGTCTATCATATTTGAATTTTCTAAAAATCTCCAAAATTGCATTCAGATTTCCCTATTTGGGAAAAATTCTATGGGGAAACATCTCCTGTCACTGTGAAGAGAAAAGAAACTTTCTCTGATGATCAATTTAAATATGACAGTGGTGGAAACATTTATATTGTTAATTCCATTTTCAAAGATATAGTTGGATATGGATCAACAATTATTATACGTGATGAAAAAAACGATGCTTTGCTTTACATGGTTTCATTAATAAACGTTAAAAATTATGGAAGTCAACAGAAAGGAGCCATTTGTCTTCTATGCAGAAATAATGTAGCCTACTATATATGTGGCCAAGACTGTGTTACAAGCATGGGCGGCCAATTCGTTTATTCAAGCCCTGGACAGAAGAGTCTTGTGTATGGATTAACAGCTTCAACAACAGAGGAAAGTCCATATATTACCTGCTCATTCGAATATCAAACTCAACAGATTTCAAATTCGAATTTTTCAAAATTTAAAGCCAGTAGCGTTGCAGCATTTGAAGTAAGTACCAGAATGAATGATTCTTATGCCGCATTCTGCACAATTAATGAAAATACGCAGACAAATGGAAGAGTAATAAGTACATATTCAAATGAGGCCACTTTCAAGATACATTATTGCAATTTTGTTGGGAAAATTCTTCCACAATCAGATAATGGAGTATTAATTTCTTCGTATCAGCCAATGGAAATCGATAATTGCAATTTCAAAGATAATACTTGTCAATATTTATTCCAATGTGACAAGAAATTGATTGTTACAAGTTCCTATATTAATGGAAATACTTGTGATGGCGAAATTGATCCAAAGTCTAAAGATGCCAAAATTGAAAGCAAGAGTGAAACCGAAATCGAATTCAAACATAATTACCCAGAGCAAGGCGATGAGATTTGTGGCTTCGAAGCAGCTGGAGAAGCTTATGTTCCTGCACAATGGGGTTATGAGGCACCTCCAGGACTAGTAACTCCAACACCAGAGCCACAACCAGTTCCTCCACAGCCAAATTGCACAATTGTCATGGCACCTCTTTACGAAGAATCAAATCCAAATATGACAGTTTACACCGTCGAATTCCCTGATGGTGAAGAACCATCCAAGGATAAAGAGGCATACTGCACAATCTCGTATAGAAAAGAACCAGTCACAAGAACTCCGAAATACGAACCAACACCATTCCCAACAATAGATCCAAACGAGTGCGACGAAGATTGCCAGAATCTTAAAGAAGAGAAGATCATCAAGGAAAGAAAGAAATTAGAAAGGGGAATGATACTTGGTTCCGTATTTGGAGGACTTATTGCCGGAATAGTTCTTGCAACTATTATTACTGTCATTATAATGAAGCATAACTACGCAAAGCGTGACGATCATTCAGTCATAGTTGACAGTATAGTTTAAATTATATGTTTTGCTAATAAAACCATCTTAAAATTACTTTCTATAACATCTCAACCTCAGTGTTGCTATTTTTCATATGATAAAAGTATAGGTTTTGTGGAGATATTAGCTTCATTTCATGGAAATATTAGTGGTTAATGCGAAAGGAATATGTAGCTGATATGCACTATAGTTAGATATCATCTTCAACATTGTTTCAAGCATTGATTGTGATAATTTTTATGAAATAATTTGTTGATTGCGTTAATATTAATTTAGATTTGGTAGATTCATCATAGTTCTGCCACTTCTTCGTTTTTTTTTGATTCGTTAATGAAAAATATTCAGATAGCTAAAATATATTTTACAATAAAAACAAAAACAATATAATATTTAAAAGATATATGACCTAGTAAATAGTATTTCTAGTGCGATGAATGGATTCATTGATAGCAAACATGAATGAATTATTTTTCGTTTTGATACTTGTTATTCTAAGGATAAATCTAATGACGTTCTCATCTTTCACGAATTTGTTTGGCTTCCATACGCCACTCAAATCTCCTTTGAAAAATGTCTCCGGATCAGGATAAAGAAGAGGCGAAATTTCCTTGAAATAATCATGGGAAATCGACTTTACAGCCTTCAAAACATGGTCAACTGTGATTTTTTCAGAACCCATTATCTTGGAAATTCTGAAAGCTTCAGCAGAGATGTTGTAATTCATGTTATAGATATTATCAGAGGTCATCCATGAATTTGGATCTGCGAAAATCAAGCTTTTCAGCTGAATTCTTTTCTCCAATTCTATTTTCGTTGATTTCGCAAGTAAATAATCCGAAATCGAGTTGTTCCAACTATAAAATATAGGTAATCTGTAATTTTCGTCCAATTTGTTGACGTCGGCTCCCGACTCAACTAAAATTTGAACTTTTGCTATGCTTCCGCATTGAACTGCATAATGTAATGGAAAATATGATAAAGGTTCTTGCTTATTGGTGAAATTTTTGATAGAAAAGTAAGAAATTGCCGGCCGATCTTGATTTGTTAAATGAACAGGGAAAGGATCATGGAATGGATAGAACTCACCGATTTTTGCGTTAATTGGTAAAGGTTTCAGCTTCGGAATGTAGTACTTTCCTGGTTTATTTGGGTTAATTCCTTTTGATATCAAAACTTTGAGACAATCAGCTGGAAAGTAGTTGATCGCTATCAAAATATCAACTTTAAGACCATACTCGATCATCAAGTTTCCAATTTCTGACGTTTTAATTCTTTTGAACAAATCTTCATCAGCAATAGCATTTACATCAAACCCGTAATGAAGCATAGCCTCAACTAGTTTTGTACAATTGTGTTCTACCGCTTCTTTGAAGAACTCTGCCATTTCTACGATTTTATGTGGATTAATATTCTTTAAATAAACAGTTAGAGCATCTAAACATGATTCATACGGCTTGACGTATCTGAATGAATTGATATTTCGGATATGTTGTGTTTCCGAGATCCGAAAAGATTTTTCCATTATTATTGGACAATCTTCCATATAAGCGCATTCCAAGAGGTCATTTCGCTCAAGAGGAAGTTTGATCGTATCGATCAAGTATTTGAATAAATCGTAAGAATATTTTAGAGAAATTAGTTTTGGAGGGAAATTAAGCTCAAAACAGCTTATGAATACATGTAGGTTGTAAGATTCGTAAGCATTTCTAACTGTAAAAGGATCAAATTCGAGATTATCAATCGCCCAATCATAAATATCGTCTCTTTGAGAATGAATAGCTCCAAGCAAGACCATTGACAAGTTCTGATTTTCTTGTTGTAATAATCTGATGATTTCGAGGTTTCCACCAAATGAAGCAAAATATCCAACACTTGGTGTAATATTTTCATAACTCATGAATAAATATTTGAATATATTGATCGATCCATTTAATGCAACATATTCTAGAAGTGTTGCTGTCATTGGAATAAAATACTCGTATTCGTCGATTTTTAACAGTAATTTTTCTTTTTCGTCTTCTGACATATTAAGCATAATTGCGTTAAAGCTATCAAAATCGTCTTCTTTAATTGCATTCTTCAGCTTCACGTGATAATCTGTGTATGCAAATTGTTGATTGATTTCATTAGTTGAAAACAGTCTCTTTAGACGCTCATCTTTAAAATTACTTTCAATAGGGGGTGTTTTTGTTAATGGAATGAAATGTGGGTATTTAAAAGCGTAATCTTTTAATTCTTCATAAAGGCGTATGTAAAAATCCTTGTTTTCCTTTCTAATGCGTAAATATAATGAAAGTTGTAGAAATACATCATAAATATAAGGCCCTTCTGTCATATAATTTTTAAGAAACCTAATTGTGTCATCAAATGTATCTTCCGATATTGTTCTAAGCATGTCTTCTAATTTGTCGAGGTTTTGGAGCTCTGGTGGAATAGTAATATCTGAAAGATACTTTCGACGCGTCATGTCCGATCAATAGTTTTCGTTTAATAAACATTCCGTCTATAATTCAAAAGTATCTGAAAATTGAAATTAATTCGGGAAGAATTTTAATTTTTTGATTCTATTTTTAGCGTTTGGCAAAGTAGTATCGACAATTGAAATCAAACGCTCACATATTAATCTTTCTGTTTTAGAAGCAAAAAATTTTTCCAATCAAATCTTGTTAAAAAATATAATTGAAAAGCTTTAAGCAAGTGTATTGTGTAAATGGTTTATATAAAACACCTTTTACTCATTAGGGTTTGGGCGAAAACTTAATTACAATGTAGAATTGCAGTCATAAATTGATATCATGTTGGCATGTAGGTCAATTTGATCTTTGTTGGATCTCAAAGTAATTGTTGTAGTTTTGACGTCTCAACTCAACGAGTTGTTCTACTAATTTTTCGAATTGATACTGCTTTTGGGTGATCTTCCTTCCATTGTATTCAACCAAAGGACCATATTGATCTTGCTCTGGAAGTCCAAGTTCACGTAACCTTTGAGGATTTGGATTTCTCTCTTTTTCAAAAACAACATTAATGACAGCCCCACTTTTCATTGCATAGTCCCTGAAGGTCAATTCTTGGTTTAACACAACTCCATTGTAAACACATTCTACAATCCCATATTCTTGATGGATAATAGAGATTGGTTTATCGATTCTAACAAACTGATACCTTGGACAATTGTTTCGGTGCTTCAGTTTTATCATGATCTCTTCACTGCATTTATGTAGCATCGAGTGAATTGAAAATGTAAATTCAATTGCCCTTCAATTCATATATAGAATTTGATTAGATTTTGAAAATAAGTTGTTGTATGAATCATATATTTATCAATATTCATGAATAAAATTTTTCAATTATAACGTGTTTTTATTGTTTTTGGACCATGAAATATAATCCAGTCTCAACAAATTATAATTTAGCTCTCCTTCTCACACAATTTTGAATACATGGTGATAATCGTTGAAATATAAAAATTACGTATATCTGTTTTTAAAAAGTTATTTAAACCTAACATCAATCTTTATTCAATGCTTCTCTGAAAACTATAATTTTGTGAGATCACTTTTATCTCAATTTGTTTACCGATAAAATCTTTTTCTTTTGAAAAGATTATAATCTTCTAAAATATAATATGTCATACTGTAAGAACTATACCATTCATAATTAAAATCAACAAAATTGAATTTTAAATCACACTCAGAAAATTTCAGAAGAAAATTGGCAGAATAATTAATTTTTCAATATTTTCTAATTCCTAATCATACTTTATTGTTACATTTGCTTTGTAGATTTATCTAGGTCAACAACTAATCAAACTTTTGTTATCAGCTTATTGATTTCAACCTAAATAAACATACTATTTATTGTAGAATGACACCATTTATTTTTTGTTTATTTATCTTCATTTAATTTTTCCTGCCCATATTTTTTCTCGGTGAAATTTTCCCGCCCAATTTTCGCTCGAAAGTCTTCGCAAACAGCTTATTTTTTACAGTCCGATCAAATAAGTGTAAACATGTTTATTCAATTCTCCATTTGTCTTTTGTGGTGTTTAAACAAACTTATTGTTTATAAAATATCGTTAATAGCTTGATACTCTAAGGGTTATGAATTTTTTACATTATTTCCATTTGATATCTAAACGATTATTCACGCCCGTTGTATTCAAAAAATAAGGATAATTCAGATCAATTTTCATATTACGGATCAATTCTATGAATTTCGAGGAGCTGGAGAAAGAATGTTTAAATCCAAAAGCCCATTTACAAGATTTTACCTTTTTTTTGATGAAATTGCAATGATGTTATAATAAAACTATAATTTCCCTTGCACAAGAATCAGACTTAATCAAGTAATCATGCAACATCTATTTCATTATAAAAAAGGAGAAATTAATAGGCTTAAATTAATGATTTAGAAATTTTGATAATGATTTTCAATGTTTTACAAAAATAAATCGAATATTGGATTGTTAACAATATGAAGAGAAAATACCTTTTCACTAATATAATTATTTATTCTAATTTTTTTAGATATTATTTGAAATGATTAATTCTTGATTAATTTTTGATATTGATAATCACTCATACCCAAAATAATAGTAGACATAAATTTTGTCTAGAGGATATTGAATTCACTTGTTAAATTTTTGAAATTTTGAAAAGATATTTAATATTTTTTTAATTTAATTTTGCCTGAATTTATAGTGCACACATATTTCATTATTTGTAACACTATCAAACTTAGATTGTTTCTAATAAATTTCAGGACAGAATTTAAAGGGGTATTGCTTATTTGGAAGTTTTTTATTAAAAATTGTCATTCAATGATTTTGAATATGCACTTTTAAAATTAGATGGAGAAAAGTTCTGTCTCTCAAAATTTTGTACAACGTCGTTTTTATTTCAACGTCAGGTCAACTTTAAAAAGATATGTAACTATATTCTCTCATGAGAATTAATTAACAATTTGTCGCGTGGCTAACAAATCATAATTGAGAAGGACGATATTAAATTTTCCCGGCATTTTTTTTGTCAAAATTTGCTTTTTATAATTAGATATTAATTGAATTTAATACTAAACTTTCGGAGCATTTGCATATTATTCTGTTCTAATTATAGAAAAAAAGTAATTTGGAAGTGATTGAAATTTAATCTGAAATTCACTATTTAATATTTATTCATTTATAATATGGATTTGACAACATGATGCAATCAAGATTCAGAAGGGTACATAAAATTTAAAATAATAATGATTCAGAATCGGAAAAATTTCCTATATCCAGGATTTGAAAAATCAAATATCATTACTTATCTATGTCTATAGTTGATATTCATATGATAAACTATTAAAAATTCATATCTTAATTTTAAAGATTTTGATCTTTTTTATCAAAAATGATAAGATAAAGAGATTGAAATATTTCTAAATAGATAGATATCTACTCTAATATCAAAACCTAACATTATTATCTATTGATGGAATTCAAACAAAAATATAAATGAAAAATTTAGAACTGACAATTGAGATTCATTATCAACAATCACAAAATGAATCATTAAATGAATTGTAATGATTAAGCATGTAGAAATTCAGCACTATGATGTGAAAAATGCAGATACATTTGATCAAAATTTTTTTTGTCAAAAATTAATTTTTTTTTGTCAAAAACTATTTTTATAATTGTTTGCCAGCATTTTTTGGTTGAAACTATTTAATTGAAAAATGTCTTATATGCTGTATGAGAACATAAATAGTGACCTAAATAAGATCACAAAATATTTTATTTCAATTTCGGAAATCACAAAAAAATTTTAAATATCATTTATTGTTTATTAATTTTATTATTTATCAATTTACACACATTCAATATTTCTGAAGCGAGCAGAGGTCAAATTGTGAGGAATTGAAATTTAAAGTTCATTATTATGGAAGACGAGCTACAACTCCTTTTGGCTAAACTTTCAGACCATGAAAAGGAGCTATTAAGGACATACTTCCTCAACCAAAATGCCCATAGTAAAGTTAGGTCCCAATTCACAAAAGAAGAAGACGCAAAGTTAATTCAATTAGTTCAGAAATACACAGCCAACAACTTTAATGCCATTGCGAAAGAGCTTCCAGGTAGATCCGTTAGACAATGCAGAGAACGCTGGAAACATTATCTCAGCCCATCAGTGAGAAATACCCCTTGGACAGAAGATGAAGATAATCTTCTAAGGATGAAATATTATGAATTGGGACCCAAGTGGGTTGAAATTTCCTCTTATTTCCAAAACAGGACAGACGTAAATATTAAAAATAGATGGATTGTGTTGATGCGCAAGGATTCTAAGAACATACTTTCAGTATCTCATGCTAAGCGCTCACCACCCACAGTAGTTGGTGAAATTCATCACGGCATTGCTTTTGATTCAATTGATTTTACATATGATAACTCACAAATGTCTTTCGATTCTAATTTTGAACCGCAACAACTATCAATTGAGGAAAATTTCTTATAATTTTTTAGATCCGATTACTGTACTTCTACTTGCTATTGTAAAATATAAAACCAAAAATAATTGTTATAATTTAAATGAAGAAGTAATTTAAAACGATTTTATTTATGATCAAATTTTATATATTTTTTTGGATCAAATTCATTTTAATAGAATTTATATACTATTCATCTATTAGTAAACACTACCGTATATTATTTTTTAAGCTATCTTATTTTTTGAACTTTTATTCAAATCTTTGGTCGCAAGAAGAATTGCATGATAAATAAAAACATTTAATCAAAGTCAATTTTATTTTTCATATTCAAATGGACTGAGTGTTAACATTTAACATTTTTTGCTAATTGTCGTCAAAAATTAGGCGTAAAGCAAAAATTGATATTTCATATGGTTTTATGATAGATAAGCATTATATTCCCACTCATTATATTCGTAAATTTTGAGGTTTATCCTTCGCTTTTAAGATCATTGAATTTGATTTTTATATAAAATAGTTATATATTAGAAAATAATATGAGTTTATGTGATATTATTTTTCAGAAGATTTCATTCTATATGCCTATGAAAAGTACTCTCAAAACTAACTTTTTCCTAATTATAATTAAATCTAGAATATTGTATTATGCTTAGTATTATTTCATTTTTCTCATTCAATTTAGAATTTACAAATGTCAAAAAATTGAGAGATGTCACTTTTGATGAATTTCTGTTTATTACAGTATTTTTAAGTATTATTGAGAATACTGATTATTACTTATATTTTTCATGAAAAAAAAATAAGTTCATGATAGAAAGGATTATCAAAGCTGACAATTTGTAATCTAAGATATTTTTCGTTTTAAAGATTTATTTATCAAGAAAGAACATAAACCTTTGCAAATATTTTGTATTAACCTTAAAATATAAAGTTATGAACTAAAATTTCTCCATAAATAACAGAGAGTCTTTTTATTGAATTCGACTCAAGTACAAC